TTTTACTTCAGCAACATCCAAAAAACATGAGCTCCCAGCTCATAGTAGTGCCTGGTAGCCACAGAATAGCATCTTGACTAAGAGCATGAGGCTTCAACTGCCCAATGACCTGGTCCCTCTCTATGGGCTGTGTGACCTTGGGTAAGTTACTCAACCTCTCTGAGGCTCAGTGGCCCTACCTGTTAATTAGTGATTCCAATACAAGCCATCATGAGGATTAAATAAGAAAATGTAGCCCTGGCCAGTTTGGCTCAACAGTTGGAGCGTCAGCCCGCAGACCAGAGAGTCCTGGGTTCAGTTCCCGCTAAGAGCACATACCTCATTTGCAGTTTGTCCCCGGCCCTGGTTGGGGGTCATGTGGGTGGCAACCACTTGATGTGTCTCTCTCACATCTCTCTCTCTCTCTCTCTCTCTCTCTCTCTCTCTCTCTCTCTCTCTCTTTCTCCCTCAATCCCTCCCTCCCTCCTTCTCTCCCTCCTTCTGTATCTGAAGATAAATGCAAAAATGTCCTCAGGTGAGGATAAAAATAAATATAGATAGATAGATAGATAGATAGATAGATAGATAGATAGATAGATAGATGATAGATAGATAGATGATAGATGGATATAGTGTGTGAGAAATACCAATGGTGGTGCGAGACACATAGCAGGTGTTCAGAAGATGTTAGCTACTCATGCTGATATATGGAAGGAGGGTGGCATCTCAGGAAAGAGCTAGTATTTTGAGGTACAATTTCCTCTTGATCATGGGCACCTTTGTAGAATAGACTTGGGAAGAATGTCTGGGATAGAGGCAAAGCTTGCTTCATCCTATCCTTGCTGCAGCTGGTGCAGGGGTACAGGGAACTAGAGGGGTGGAACAGGGGCTGTCATCATTTATCCTGTTGATAAAATGGTCCCTGCATTTGGAAATTGAAAGAGGTTTCCTCATCATTTAAAGCAGCACCTATATCTTCTGGGTGCAATGACTGGAATATTAATTTGCCAATTGGCCATGCAGATGGACATGTATGCGACTGGCTCTATTTGCAGGCATGGGTGATGCCATCTCTATGCCTGGCTGGTAATGAGCCTGGCACAGCCAGGAGGGTGAGGCTCTTGTCTGCTGCTGAGGCAGGTAGAGGGAGGGGCATCTTCAAGGTGACCCCACAAGGCTGGCACCTCAACAGCAGGTCCGCATGCAGAGCAGGGCAGGCACGCACACATACGTCCAACCCTAGGTTTTAATTCTGAGCACCACTTCTGCCTTGGATCATGGCTGCAGCTGGTACACACTAAACAGGACAATCCAGAGCCCCACAGCAATGTGGACCCCATACACTCCCAGGGGAGGCCCTAGGAGGGCTGATGTCCCTGTCACTCCTAAGTCCTGCCCTTGACTTCAAAGATAAGAAGCCACATGGCAGAGAGGAAGATGGTGACATGGATCGGATAATCAGTAGGCCTGTGACTTATTAGGAGGAATGCAGTGATCACTGGCAAAGTCACCACTGGCTCAACTCTAGTCCAAACCAAAGCCCGGGCCATTGGCTCAGGAGTGGTAGCATGGAAGATTATGGTCACGCTAGGTGAGTAGTGACTCAAAGCTCCATTTCATGATCAGGCATAAGCACTGCATAGAGTGCTATGTTAAAAAAGACTGCTGGGGCTGCCTCCTGGGCCAAACAGGAAAGAGTATCATTGTCCATTTGTAATGTCTGCCATTGGCATAGACTTAGAAAATGGTGCAGGTGTGCTACATAGTCACCAGCTAAGGATGAGATATCTCCTAACTGGAGATCAGACTGGACAATTTAAACTGATCTCTTTTGCCTGGGAGAAAGAGATGGAGGGGATTCTCACTTTGCCACCTGTCATTTGTGGGTCTTGAAGAAAAATAGAAAACTTTAGCTGACAGCCAAGGGAATAAAAATGAGAAGCTGGCACTTAATCAAAATCTCAAGTAGTTAACCCATCAAAAAGCAGAGAAAGCTTAATCCCCAGTAGGGGGCATGCAGGAAGCAGCCAGTCAATGTTTCTCTCTCACGTTTGTGTTTCTCTCTCTTCCCCTCTCATTTCTTCTATCTAAAAAAAAAAAAAAGTAAGAATAAATAAATATGATATGGGAGGAAGCAAAGAAGAAACCAAATTCTATACCTTAGTAAAAATGAGATGTTGAAGTCTCCAATTATACTGTTGCATTTTCTGTTTCTCTCTTCAACTGTCAGCCTGCACTTCATGTATTTTGGGGATTCTGTTATTAGGTGCATATAAGTTTATAATTGTTATAACTTCCTGATGGATTGACCCTTTTATCATTATAAAATGTCCCTCTTATCTCTAATGACATTATTGTTTTAAAGTCTACTTTTTCTAATATTAGTATAGCCATTCCAGCTTTTTTATGGTTGCTATCTGCATGGTACATACTTTTCCATTCTTTTATTTTCAAGCTCTTTGTGTCTTTGGTTCCCTAGTGAGGCTCCTATAGACAGTATATAGTTGGATCTTGTTTTTTATCCAGTCTGGCAATCTCTGCCTGTTGATTGAATTGGCCAATGAATTTGTATTTAATGTTATTATTGATATATTAGGATATACAGTTGCCATTTTACTTTTTGTCTTCCATATGCCTCTTGTTGTTTTTATTCCTCTATTTCTCCTTTTTCTTTAAGTGAATATTTTCAACTGTAATATTTTATTTCCTTTAATGATGTTTTACTGTATTTGAGTTATTTCCTTAGTGTTGCTCTAGGGTCTACTGCATATATATAAACATATCACAGTCAACTTTATATTTATACTAAGTTAATTCCAGTGGAAAATAAGTTAATCCAATTACATGCCTGTGACTCTATTTCCTCTTCCCCTTTTTGTGCTATGTTTTCATTGTTATACATTAGAGAGCTTCTTTTCCCCTCCTCATAATTTAGTGGAGAGACCATGGCCCAGAGAGAGTGCCTGGTTTAGCTATATACCAGGTTGGCATTTAATAGCTTTGAGCCTTAGTGTACTCACCTATAAAATGGGGAGAATTGTAGGAACACAGGATTGAAGGATGAAGTGAGTTCTCAGCACAGAGCCTACACATAGTAGGAGCTCTGAAAACAGTAGTCTGCATCTGGCTCTCAAAGATCCCAGAAATCCATTTACCCAAGCATCTCACAGCAGAGAGTCAGGAAACATGTGTACTTAGCCAAAGCCATGGGGAGCTAGCTCCCTCTCCCCACTGTATGCCCCTGCAGTGTAGCCACTTACAATGAACTTCAGCAAGCAAAGGCTTGGACCTCAGGCTAGGACAAACTGGCCCAGAGAGCAGGGCCTCCAGGCCAACCCCTCCTGATGAAGGTCTGTATGCTACAAAAGCCACCGGCATGGGCCAGAATTTCTAGCAGGGCATGTTCACAGCCCAGGATAAGGCCCTAAGTTCATGCTTCAATTTACCTGTCCCTGCCATGGTCTGAGTATGCAGGAGGCTTTTGGAGGCAGTAATAAGAAGGGATGGAGAGGGGGAGGTGGCAACAGCTGATTGTCCAGCTTCTGATTTGCATAAGTCTAGGTCCCCACCTGGAGGAGACAAAAAAGCCCTCCTCCAGCTACCCAGGCAGGTGGCCATCCAAATTCTGCTTGATTACCACCCAAGACAGAGGCCTCATTTCCCTGAGGCAGTGCAGGGCCTCTATGCCATTTCCCCAGGGAAACCTTTGGTATACCTAGGCCCAGTGCTGAGTTCGAGGACATACAAAAAAGCAATCACATACAAGCCCTGGAAACCACGCATGATCACATGCAACAAATGAAAGACAAGGACATGGACATGGGCTCTCAGAGGACACACAGGGGGACCCCTTTCAGAACAGGGTCCAGAAGTGCTTGCCCCTGATTCTGTGGCACACTGAGTGTCTGAAGCTGGCTCCCTACGGCCAGATTGGGCTAGCAGCCTCAAGAAGGGCTCATGCCTGAGACAGTGAGTAAGTGCTGAACTTTGGAGTTCAGGCCTGAGTTCTAGCTTGGCTCAGCATGGACTAAATGGGTAACTGGGAGCTGGTCATTTACCAGCAAGCCTCAGTTCACACGACTGTAAAAGAGGAACCCACACCCCTGCCCAGCTGCACTGAAGGGAACTAAGTGGCATTCCTAGACACTCACTACCAAGGGACTGGCCATCCCTGAGCCCATGTGCCCGTGGCTGCTGCTATCTGACTCTTACCCTTCCCTGGGCTCCCAGCCCTCAGAGCCTTACCAGTCTTTTCCTGTGGAAGCATAGGAGCTTCCTTCTCTAGGGCTCTCAGACACCCTGAATTTAGTCCTAGAGGAGGTGCTTGCACCCTCCCTGCTCCCACCATGCCACATTCCTTTCTAGAAGTCCCCTACCCACCTCTGTGCCTTGGTCATCTTCCCCTGCCCAGAATGCCTCCCTGCATCACTTCCTCTGGGAAGCCTTCCCTGATCTGATCCAACCCCACCACCACCACCATCACATGTCTGGGTCAGTTGTTGCCCACAACCCAGGCCTGCCTAATTTCCCTGGAGTACCCTGGGTAGATTTTAACCCTGAGGCAGAAGTCCACTGGAGGCCAGCAAAGCTGGTCTTCATACTCCATCCTCCTGTCATCCCCCACCTCTAACCAAGACCTTGGTAAACACATGCTAACTTTTTAACCTTGTGTCTTGGTGGAGGAGAGTTCTTGTTTAGCACTGAGTCTTGGGTTCACCCATTTGCTGTATAACCTTGAGCAAGTCCATTGACCTCTCTGAGATTCTCTTTTCTAACCATGAGTTAGTTAAGCTCCCAGGCCAGAGGCTTCAGAGAAGCAGAGGGGAGGTCAGATCCTGCTACCAAAGGTTCCTTCAGGACTCTGCTCCCCTCTTCCCTGGCCAGGAGAGTCTCTGGTCCTGACCTCAGAGTATGCTCCACTGAGTTAGGGATGAATAACTCACAGAGCAGCAGGGATGGAGGAGGGAGGTGTGTGGCAGGGTCTGTACCCCAGTTCAGTATCCTCTCTTTGTTCCCAACAGGTCGACACAACCATACTGGCCATTTCTACCCTGGATCCTTAGAGAACTCGGGGAAGAGCAATGTGTTTGTGTCTCCTGTCATGGTGGCCAGTGTGGTCATAGGTATGGTCGTCGCCATCTCCTGCATCACCATCATCCTGGGCAGCATGCGCAGGGAGAGGCAGGCACGGCAGTCCCGCCGCCGCCGCTATGGAGACTACGAGGATGGCCAAGGTGAGCTTCTGCTCTTCTCAGGGCCTGGCCCACCTGTCCAACCCAGGAGGCATTAGGGAGATGGCCACTCTGCCATGGGAGGGGGAGGGTGATCAGGGAAGGCATCCTAGCAGTCTTAGGTGATTAGGAAATGCTCACAAGTGCTCACCAAAATGTTCTCAGTGGCATGAAAAGCCCGGTTGTTTGCCAAGGGTGGGGCTGAAGGTCGGAGAGAAGGCAGGTGGCTACTCCCCACCCCTGGCCACTGTACTGACAGCTGGTCCAGATGGTGCCTGGATGGAGGGGTGGAGGGATGGATGGAGAAAGGCATGGGTGAGTAGGATGGGAGGATAAAAAGATAATTAGGTGGAAGGGGTTGGAGTGAGTGAGTGGAAGTATCAGTGGATGGATGGGGAGAGGGATGAGTGGCTGGGATGAGGGATGGATAGCTAAATGGGTGGGTGGAAGGATGGATGAATGGAGAAGTAGATGGATGGTTGGATGGGGAGTAGATGTGTGGACTGGGTGGGATGTGTGAGTGGATGGATAGGTGGAAAGATGGATAGATAGAACAGGGGAACAGATAGGTGGGGTGTTGGATGGGATGTGTGGGTAAATGAATAAGTGGATGGATAAATGAATGGAATGAGTGATGAGTGATTGAATCATTGAATCTATCTCCAGAGAGCCTGCAAAGTACATGCAGAGCTGACTTAAGACTTTTCCAATTATAGGAATCACCCTTACAACAGAGTTGGTGGCTAATTCTTGGGCTTTACAGTCCCAGAAGTATCCATCTGCCCAGTATGCCCCAACATTTTACAAAATGCAGCCACCTGACTTTGTCTCATTCATTCTTGGAAGGGGCCAGGTATCTAAAAGAGCAGGAAGAAACTCCATCGTATTCAATTCTCAGTCAACCTTCAAGGGCAGAGACCTGAGGGCTTCTGCCTGAAAAGGGGTAAGGGTGAGGGGGGCAGGTCTGTGGCATTGTCTAACCCCAGGGGGCACCATTTGCACAGAAGATTAAATGTTTTGGAGGCTCCAGAGTCAGGCAGGGCCAGAGGGTCTTTCCTCCGTCAGGACAGAAAGAGTACCTCCTTCATGCTCCTTCCCACCTCTGCACTTTTGCAAATGCTCTTCCCTAAGCCCTAATGCCATTCCCCATACTTCCCCAACTGACAAAAGCCTACTTGTCCTTCCAGGCCCAGCTCAAATGCTATCTCCTTTTGGGAGATTCTCTGGCCCCTCCTCACCACCCCAGATTGGGTTGACTCCTTCCTCCCCATGCTGTCTTGGCATTGTACCTCCACCTCCATCAATATCCCAGGCATGGGGTGACTGTGTTGCACAGTAACAGCAGAGCCTGCATACAGCTGTCCTCCCCACAGCCCAGCACAGGACCTAGCCCAGAAAAAGTGCTCTGTGGGCAAGGAAAGGAATTACCTTGTTTCATTCTCACAACAAAAACTGTGTTCACCCATTTTATAGACTGGAAAACTGAAGTAACTTGTTGAATGGCCTAGAAGTCCCACACCTGAGCCTGATTCTTAGAGCAGGGGAAGGAGTCCACAGTACTTCCCAAGCTAAAGTTTGAGAGGTCAACATTGGCCTTGAGGAAAGAGATGGACCTGGGGGCAGGCCAGTCCCTCTTGAGTCTTTGGTGGGGCCTCAGGGCCAACTCTCGGCAGCCCTGCATCCCTGTTTCTGTGGAGACCCCTCTGTGGGGTTACCACCTCCCTAGCCACTTCTGTTCTCAACTCCAGCTTTGGTACCTCCCTGGGGTCTCAAAGGGGAGCCTAGAGGTGCTGATGCCCCCCACACTTTCCCTCATCCTTCTGGGGATACATGGGGTTGGGGCTGCCAGGAACCTTAGAAAGATGCCAGGGAAGAGAGGAAAACACACTGTGCACAGCTGTAGGGAGAACACTGAAGTGGCAGAGCACCAAAAAGCTTTGACCTATTGGCACTGGGGATACTGCTATCCTCAAACATACCCATCCGCTGGCTCCAGTGACAGGCTCTCCCAGTCTTTCTTACTGCCCTCAGACCTCTTGTGGATTCCTATTGCCTGAGGAGAAGAGTATCAAGGTCCCTTAGAGCTGGAGCTATGACTCTGGGTCCTCTCTCTCTGCCCAAGGGCAGCCTCGGGCACACCAATCATCCTTGGTCCAGCTTGTCCAGCCCTCTCTTTGACTCCAGACTGTGCACCCAGACATCCTTGAGACATCTTCCCCCAAGGTCCCACAGCCACCTCACATCCCAAAATGCCCGAAACGGGTGTCCAAAATGGACTTCATCTTCCATTTTTACTGTACAACCTCAGGAAATTGCTTAACCTTTGTGTACCTAAAGTGAGTCATCTATAAAATGGGTACACAGGACTCACCCCAAAAAGTTATTATGAGGATTAAATTAGACATTACCTGGCTAGTGAGTAAGTGATCAATAAATGTTAACTATTTTCATTACACACACACACACACACACACACACACACACACCACACACAAGAAAACCTGCTCCCAGGCCACTGATGCTGGCGCCACCACCTGCCAGCTGCCAGCCTAGCACCTCCAAGGTATTCTCCACCAGCAACCAAAATGACTGAACTGTGACCACTTCCATTCTCTGCTCAACACCCCTACATGGCTCCCCATTGCCCTCAGGACAAAGTGGGCCCTCCTCTGTTTGCCCACAGGGCCCTTCTGCAGTCTGGCCAGCACAGAAACCGTGGTCAATAAATGTTTGAGAGTGAGTGAGTGAGTGAGTGATGAATGAACGAATGAATGAATGAATGAAATTATATTTCCATAAGATGGAAAGAACTTGCGCTTTGAGAGACAGATGTGGTGGCTGACCCTGTCTCCTCTCACTTGCTGGGGGTTTAAAGCAATGGACCTCCCTGTCCTTTTCTTCAGCTGAAGGAAGGGGCAGCCACAGTGCCTCTCTCACAAGCTCATGAGGAGAAAGCCCAGGAAGAGCTCATGAATGCAAATTACCCCTCCCCTCACTGGGCCTATCAAGGGATGTTAACCTTGAATTTGGGTCAAATAATGAACTGAGGTATTTCTTAATATCGGTAAAGAAGGAGATGGGGAGGTTTCATCTTCCATGAGGTGGACAGGGGGGTCTCCCAGAGGCCTAGACCATTTGGATCAGTGCGGACGTAGAAGTCAGGGAAGGAAAAAGGATAAAAAAATAGAATTTGGGGAGTTTGAATGGGGGATGGGCAGTTTCTTTCCAGCTGGTCCTCAGGAGCTCTGTCTGGCTGGATGCCTGGGACTGACTTGGGTCATCTCAGGATTGGGGGCTGGGCCAAGTGAGCACCTCAGAGCAGCTTCAATTTCCCTAATGTGCTCAGCCTCTGGGAGACCCAAGAAAAGCAGTCCAAGGAGAGAGGTGGACAGCAGTGTGGGTAGCCCTGCCCATCAGGGCCACCCAACTCAGGTCCAGGAAACAGCCTTAGCTTTCCTGAGGTTAGGACAGCAGATGGGACCCTCCCCTGGCAATGCTGACAGAGACAGGACCACTGCACCAGAACCCAGTGACCCTGGTGTCCTTACCCTGTTGTCCTTTCCTGCTTATCTCTTTCCTGAGCTTCTTCCCCAAGTTCTTCCAAAAATTCCCATTTTTTTACCTGAAGCCCCAAAGAGAAACAAATCTCATTTCAGCTCCCTTCTACAGCATGTTATTGGGTTCCTTTAGCCTAGTATAAAAGTAATATGTGTTCATGATAGAAAAACCTTTAAAATACAGAAAATATAAAGAAAAAAATAAGGGTCATGGCTGTGTCATCCAGACAGAGCCACCTTTAGAATGCTTCCTTCTGAGAGCTTTCTTGATGTCCAGAGATAACCCTGAGATTACAGCTTTATATCCAGATTTTTCCTTTCACATTGTATCAAGAGTCAGGAAAAGAGCTTAGGAAGTGGAAGGAGCAGTCTTTAGGGTTACCCTGAGCCTCAGTTTCTTAGTCTATAGAATGTGGATGGCCAAGGTTCTAAGGACCTGAAAGAAAGGTCGTAAGCCCAACCCCAGACAAGCCCCGCCCCTAATGCTGAGCCCTGCCCTCTGAGGGGAGGAGCCACCTAAGAGGCCTTTGGTGTTGGGAAGACCTCATGTCTCAGCCATTTATGCAACTCCCACTGTTCTCCAGCCACCTCCAGACCAGTGAGAAAGTAGGAGGGCTTACAGGGTGAGGAGCCAGGACAGCCAGCTGTCCCTGACCACACCAATAATTTGTTGCGTGGCCTCCAGCAAGTCACTGAGACTCTCTGAACCTCAGCTGTAGAATGAGAAGATTGTGCTCCATCAGCATTTCCTACAGAGTGTTATTAGATAAAAGAAAAGAAAATTCTGTGGTCAAATGCTGGAGAAGCACAATTAAATGAGTTTCTCAGCTGCAAGACTTTCCAGCGCTTTTGATGTGCTAATATGTGGTCAAACACTTAGAAGAGAATGCAGTATACTGAGTTGCCAGAAGTCATCATAAAAGACCCTTTTCTCCATGGGATATCTTAAGGAAATAGTGTATAGTTGGAGCGTGGAGTAGGGAGGCCTGACCCCTGATACCCTCTTGCCCACTTTTCTTACTCCAGCCCTTCTCCATAGCTCAAAGCTTCCTGCTCACACCACACTCTCCTCTTTTTTTTCCCTCCTTGGCTCAAGCTGTTCTGTTCCCTCTGCACGGCCTGCCCCTCTTCCCCTAGCTAAATTCTAGACAAAACTCAGCTTTAGGAGTCCCTCCTCCAGGAAGCCCTCCCTGAACTCTAGGCTGGGTCAGGCCTGCTCTGTTCCCACAGCACAACCTCAGTACTATGTCTATCAAACTCATGACACACTGCCCAGTACTGGGATGTCCCTAAGACAGACTGCCCACCACCCTGGGAGCCCTGCAGGCCGCTCTCCTTCCTCTCTGGGACCCCATGCCCACCCAGCACAGTGTTAGTGCTCATATTCTGGGGCTATCACTGAGGGGATCTGTGTTTGGTGAGGAGCAGGAGGGCGGGTGGGACAGAACAGTCTTGGTGGCCTCAGGTAAACATGTGAGGACCCTCCCTGGTGCCAGCCTGAGGCCCATACTGAATGTCTGTTTCCTGCAGAGTCTGAGGAGCTCACATACTGGAGCCGTGGGATGCGCTATGCCTGCAGCCTTGTGGGGGACTGGCCTGCACCCTTGGACCTCAGCTACCATCAGGAGGTGGATGCTGTCATGCTGCACCGGCTGTACACAGATCCTCCACCGTGGTAAGAGGCCTCATAGCGGAGAAGGGTGTAAGAGGGTGGGGCTCTAGGCACAAATGCTCCCCAAATGGTAGAAATGCTGAAAACACCTGCTCAGAGGGTGTGACCATCTTTTCACCCCTCCTGACTAAGTGCGTCCCAGTGAGGCAAAGTTTGACTCAGCAGATGTCACCATGAGACACTCAAAAAGGAAGAGAAGAGCTCGGCTCCTTCAGGCTGGGGTGAAGGGGTGAGGTGGAGGGTCCAGATCCCAGCCCCTTAGTATGTGCCCCCAAAGCCCAAATCACACCCACTGGGATGGGGATCATTGTGTTCAAACTTCCACCATCAGGTGTTCCTGTCCCATTGGTGAAGTCTTCTCTGGAGGGTCTTTGGGTCTTCCCTGCCAGCCACCCTCAGGCAGATCACCTACCAGTTAGTACATGAAAAGATAAGAGAGGCCAGGGCTTCCATCACTTTCCTACCAGAAGACCCATCAGGCCCAACAAACACTCAGGTCCTCCCCATCACATTTATCCTTTTCCCTCTGCTCCCAGGGGTATAGGGAGGGACAGTGCAGTTGTTCTCTTTCAGGCCAGAGGATGCTTTTTAGCCCTGTACCTATGGGTTTAAAGGGGCTTTAGGGACTCCTTCCTAAACCTGGAAGGGCCACTTTGGAGTGACTTAAGATCAAGGGGTGCCTGGCAGCCTGAGGTTGCTCCCACCAGCACTGCCCACACTTAGTAGCACCCAACCTGGGAGATACTTTGTCAACAGAAACTACTGCTGTTCTTAGTGATCCGAGACACAGTGCTCGATTACTTTCTCGCTCAGGTTCACACAGAACATTGTGGCTGAATCAGGACCAGAATCTAGGTCTCAGTGGTTCTGTGGTGCCCCTCCCTGGGAAGCAGACAGGTTTCACTGGAGCCATCATGACAAAGGTCTGGCGGGTCTCCAGGACAGGGTAGCTTGTCACTGAGGACAGGCGCTCAGCTGCTGGGAAAAGACCTCACACCTGCCCCTATGGCCAGATCCACAGGCCCTGAGAGACTCCCTTCTCTTGTAGCTATGAAGAGTGTATGGGACCAGGGGCCACTCAGCTGTACCTCCCCACGGATGCACCGCCTCCCTACTCGCTGATCGACACCTCCCACAGCTCCGGTGGATACCAGCAGGGGCAGAGCAGCCTCCACACCATCTCCATGGATGCGCTGCCCCCTTACGAGGCTGTGTGTGGGGCTCCACCAAGCCTGCTGCCACTGCCAGGGCCAGAACCAGAGCCAAGCAGCTTCCAGAGCTCACCTACCCCAAACGGGGACCTGGTCTCTAGCCCAGAGAGGATTGTGTGAATGCCAGCAGGTCATGTCCTGCCAGTCCTAGGGGCTGAGTAAGACCTTTCAGGAACACAGGGGAGCGCGTGCACGCACACACACACATATGCACACAAACACATGCATGCACACATAAACACGTACACAAAACATGCACACAGCTGCACACAAACACACATGTGCACACATGCACCCACAAACACGCACACGCACAAACACACATGTGCACAGAAACACGCATACACACACAAGAACACACAGCACTTCACATGCACACATATAACACAACTTGTACACACAGACATATATACACTGACACACCCATGTGTACATACACATCCAAACATGCCCCACATGTGTGAAGATATGTGCACATACACAAACCCCCCCACCTGCACACGCACCCATGCAAACTCATCTGTGAAGGTTTCATTAAAAATGAAGCTCTCCCTACCTCCCGTTCCCTCCCCAGCCTGTCGGTTATGACTTTGTAGACAGCACTGGGAGAAGAGAGGTGGAGATGGGACTAAGGTTTGCTCCTGCCTCTCTCTGGGTCTGTTTGCCCTGCCCTCATCTGGCAGGCTGTGCCCAAACTCTGATTCTGTCTCCAGAAACAGCTTGACTATCCCAGGTCAGCTGCTTACCCCCACCCCCTCCAAGGGCAACCTGTCCCCCTGGTGGTGGGACAGGCCTCAGTGAGGCTCAGCTATGCACTGAACCTCTCTATCAAGTCCAGGGCAGAAGAACCACATCACCACCCTGCCACTTATGGGGTGAGGGACATGGGCCTGGGGGGCTTAGGCACAACCTGGAGGCCCTTAGAGCCCACCTCTCGCCCTAACCGAGTGCCCTCAGTCTGGTGGTGCTAGTGGAGTTATCTCCAAAGCCCCCACCCTAAACCACAGGATGAACAGGGCTCCTGGTGGGTGTGCCATGGTGGTGATGGGTTACAGCTGTCCCCATGTCAGTCCAACCAAATCCCAGGACTGAGAGTCTTCAAAGAAAATAAGTATGTGCCCAGATGGCCTGAGCTTAAATGGGCTGAAGCCAGTCCCCAGAAGCTAGTACTGTCCTCTTGGGTGGCAGCTCATAGTTGGCAATTGAACTGACATGTTCTGGTCTAGCCCTCTGGGGTGTTCGCAGAGACAAAGTAAAGGCAATGTGAGCCCCATCATACAACTGCAAGAGAACCAGTGGTTGCATCTCAGCCTTGATGCCAGGGGCATCACAGAAGGAGATGTGTGGGGTGGCCTAGCTGTAGACAGGCTCCAGTCTTGGTCCATGAAATCCAGCAGTTTCCATCAGAGACCATGCAGGTAACAAAGCTGATTCCTAAACAGCCAGTCTGTCAGAGGGTAGTGGCTGAGAATCTTTGAAGAGTGTCCCCTCCAGCATCACCAGCGGCAGGGGGCAGAGTCCTCACATTTACTCTGCTTCCCCCGCCCGTCCTTAAACAGTCCCCTATCTATCCTCCCCCCACACCTCAATTCCTCCAACGAAGGGCTAACAATTCACTAACCCCTTTCCTAAGAAGAGGGGTAGCAAGAATGGCAATCGTGAATTTTATTTTGTGTAAAAATAGTATTTTTTTCCGGTGCAGAACTGAAAGGAATCCGTCAAAGGTTCGGTAGCACCTGGAGCCTCTGGCTCCACCTGGAGTAGGGACCTTGTTTACAAGCAGTTCTGTCACCTTTGTGATGTACTGTTTTTTAAGCAAAAAAAATCTGTGTCTGTTGTACTGTATAGCTTTAAAATGCACTCCGGGGATGAAACACATCCTGCTTCTGCAACCCTCAAGAGTGCTGGGCGGGGGTGGGGGTGGGGGTCCCTATGTACTCATCAGTGTTTGAAAGTGAACAGCTTTTCTTGCTCCTGGATTAAGCGCTAAATAAACAACAATGTATCTTTTCTGTGTTCAAAATAAATACATCATATCAATAAAAAATGTTGCAAGAAGTAACATTGTGTCAAAGAAGGGGGCTTGTGCCCTCTCAAACTTCTAAGGAAAGGAAACAGGAAGCAGCAATATTACTTTTCTCCAAACTAACAGCCATTGAAACCTTGTCATTTTCCCACTGAGGTGAATATCTGGATAGTCGGTGATTTACAAGAGTCCTGCATCCATCAGCCCTGTTCCAAGCCCACACTGCCACCTGCGGGCCTCCTGCTGCCACTGTTCAAAGCAAATGAGTCTCCATCTGAAGAATGAGCAAATTCCCTTCTCCCATGTTCAAACCCACTGCCGACAGTCACTCGTAGTTGTAGATGAAACTTGTCTTCCACCACAGGGGTGTTCTATGAGGTTTAACCCATTCAGGAATTCCATTTTCAGGAACAGCCCCTGTCACCCAGCATCTATCTCTGGACACAGCCTGAAACCTAAGCCCCTTCTCTGCATGCAATATATTCTCTCCTCTGTCCTTCTAAACACTAATGTGAATGGCTCCAGTGCCAGCCCCATGTTCTGGGGCCCCTCCTCCTGGGAATGAATGTAGCAGCCTTCATGGTGATGGTGTCCACACATGGGCTGACCCCACCCTGAGCCACCCCACACTTACACCCAGTTCCAACAACAAACGCAATCAGGATTCCACTGGTACAGGGGACTGTCAGGCTCGGTTTTTCCTGCCTCCTCTACCCACAACACACCCTATGTCCACATGTGGGACCGCATTCAAGGTCCTTCTGCAAACAAGACTAACCTCTCTCTGCCAGGAACTGGAGGGGTGGAGCCTGAGGAGGAACACTTATGCAGGCTCAGTGGGCTCCTCTGGCCAGAGTCTTCAGAAAGAGGAGTTGCAGCTGATAGCATATGAGGCCATCACAGTGGTCAGCATGATCTGCCACTGGGCCAGCATGTATGGACACAGCACATTCCAAGGTCTTTGGACAGGGCACCAATAGCACCTGCCACACATGAGCAGCAGAAATCACCCACGAGGAGGAGGAAAGAGGGTTGATACAAAGTATGGTCGTCCACAGCATGCACTGGACACAACCCATGTACACACACACGTAGGGGTCTCACACCCTGTTCTTCTTTTTTTTTTTTTAAATCCTCACTTGAGGACATTTTTGCATTTATCTTGAGATAGAGTGGAAGGGAGAGAGGGAGGAGGAGAAAGAGAAACATCAAGATGAGAGAGACACATCGAGTTGTTGCCACTCACACGACCCCAACCAGGCCAGGGACAAACTGCAACCGAGGTATATGCCCTTAGCGGGAACCGAACCTGAGACTCTCTGGTCCGCGGGCTGACACTCTAACTGCTGAGGCAGACCAGCCAGGGCTCACACCCTGTTCTTAGAGACACCCTGACACCTATTTGTATGTAGCATCACTCAGCTCACATCAGTTGTGATTTTGTAGGCATCTGCATAGATGGCTTTGAGGCACACACCCTAGTGCCCCTTACACAGTCAAAGCTCCCACATACACACTCCAAGGCCATCCACACTGATACTCAGGTGTTACCCTCAGTGGCTGACCTGATGACTGACAAGGTTCAGGGTGTGAGCAACAAAAGGACTGGCAGCTTCATCATTTGAGAAAGTGAATCTTCCTTCCTGGGCTCTGCTCTGCCTGACCTCACATTGCACCGCCCAAGCCCACATGAACTCTCTCAATCAGGACCAGTTGCCTGGGTCAGGCCCACTATTTCCAGGCTAGAGGGCTGGGCATGCCTTTGCCCCCAGGGTTGCAGCACAGCTGTGCCTGCTTAGCATCTCTCCAAGTAATCCCAGGTCTGCAGGTCCTCGGGCCTGTGGTCACAGCCTCAGCCACACCACAACCACCCATCCTCACCAGCCTGACTCCTGGGCTCCTGGGGCTGCCCTTCCTTCTCCCCTGTAGCTGGTGGCTGCCTGGTCCATGGCCAGCCACAAAGCTGGCACCACTTGAACTACAGGGTGGAGGGGGTGGACAGCTCTGGAAAGGGGGGCCCTCCAACCCTGAGAGACTCTGAGTCTTACCCCCATCATTCAATTGCAAGAGGCAGAAACCCAACTTAAACCAGAAAGGGTGTTTATTGGCTCATGTACCTAAATTGTCCAAGTGATAATTCCAACTTCAGGCGCAGCTGGACCCTTAGAGTCTGAGAATATGGCCAGGTGTGTCTCTTGGCTCTGCTGCCTGCCGTGTTGCCTTCATTTTCCCACAGGATCAATAGCTGTAGACACCTCAAGTATATATACTGGCTGACCCAAAACAAAGAGAGACTCTCCCAGAGAGCAGAGGAAACTGACTGGCCTGGACACACTTACACCTGACCCTCTGTGAGGGCTGTGGCTGGGGAGTAGAGTCTCTGATGAGCCAGGCCTGGGTCATGTGATGACTCCCATGGGGGAGGAGGAGCCAAACAGACTCTTGGAAAAAGAGGAAAGAGGGTTGGGAGGATTGGGCACACCCAGAACAGGGGATTCTGCCTTGTTCCCTTGACAGGGCCTGGCCCCACCCACTAGCTTTCAGTCTGAATGATGACACCAGGCTAGGGGTAGACAGTGACCACACAGCAAGCTAGGACAGGTGCCGGGGCAGGAAAGGTAGGGGTGGCCACTGACCAGGGCCCACAGCAGAAGGTGGAGTCAAAACCAACCTGTAGCAGGGCCTAATAGCACCAGACTCATGGGGACACTGTCCTGAATCTGTCCTGGCTCTTCCCCATGGTTGCCCTGTCAGGGAGGGCCAGGGGCCAGAGAGGCCCAGCTGCATTGCCTGCTGGGAGGAGCCTCTGGCCAGCTGCGGGGAGTTGGCCAGACTCCACACTGAGGGTGCTCTGTGGTTTGAGGGCGATTAGACTCTCACAAGGAATACACCCATCCATAATTTGGTTGTTTCATGGCTTTATTCCTGAAAAGGAACATAAATTTGGGCTAAAGGCCAAGGTATGGATCTGTGAAGTCAGGTTTGAGGCTCAAGGCCAGGTATCAACTCTCTGAGGGTTGTTCGATGCTGGACTCCCTTCATCTCCTCCTCCTCCCAGCCCTCCCCTCCCTGGTCCGTCCCTGCATGTCTAAGCCATCCCTGCCACAACCACCCCTTCAACTGGGCTCTCTAGGCATGAGCCACCTGAGGG